TTCTTCTTCTTGGGATCCTCTGCAGCCTTTCTCTCCGGACTACTTAGCCTTTGCTGCTTCTTCTTGGGGTCCTCTGCAGCTTTCTTTCCGGGCTACTTGGCCTTTGCTTCTTCTTGTTCTTGGGATCCTCTGCAGCCTTTCTCTCCGGACTTTTTTGCCTTTGCTTCTTCTTTTTCTTGGGACCTCTGCAGCCTTTCTCTCCGGGCTACTTTACCTTTGCTTCTTCTTCTTCTTGGGATCCTCTACAGCCTTTCTCTCCGGGCTACTTTGCCTTTGCTTCTTCTTCTCCTTGGGATCCTCTGCAGCTTTTCTCTCCGGGCTATTTTGCCTTTGCTTCTTCTTCTTCTTGGGATCCTCTGCAGTCTTTCTCTCCGGGCTATTTTGCCTTTGCTTCTTCTTCTTCTTGGGATCCTCTGCAGCCTTTCTCTCCGGGCTACTTTGCCTTTGCTTCTTCTTCTTCTTGGGATCCTCTGCAGCCTTTCTCTCCGGGCTATTTTGCTTCTTCTTCTTCTTCTTCTTGGGATCCTCTGCAGCCTTTCTCTCCGGGCTCTTTGCCTTTGCTTCTTCTTCTTCTTGGGATCCTCTGCAGCCTTTCTCCTGGCTACTTTACCTTTGCTTCTTCTTCTTGGGATCCTCTGCAGCCTTTCTCTCTGGGCTACTTTGCCTTTGCTTCTTCTTCTTCTTGGGATCCTCTGCAATCTTTCTCTCCGGGCTACTTTGCCTTTGCTTCTTCTTCTCCTTGGGATCCTCTGCAGCCTTTCTCTCCGGGCTCTTTTGCCTTTGCTTCTTCTTCTGAGGGATCCTCTACAGGTTTTCTCTCCGGGCTATTTTATCTTTGCTTTTTCTTCTTCTTGGGATCCTCTGCCGCCTTTCTCTCCCGGCTACTTTGCCTTTGCTTCTTCTTCTTCTTCTGGGGATCCTCTGCAGCCTTTCTCTCCGGGCTACTTTGCCTTTGCTTCTTCTTCTTCTTCTTGGGATCCTCTGCAGCCTTTCTCTCCGGGCTACTTTGCCTTTGCTCCTTCTTCTTCTTGGGATCCTCTGCAGCCTTTCTCTCCGGGCTATTTTGCTTTTGCTTCTTCTTCTTCTTGGGATCCTCTGCAGCCTTTCTCTCCGGGCTACTTTGCCTTTGCTCCTTCTTCTTCTTGGGATCTTCTATAGCCTTTCTCTCCGGGCTACTTTGCCTTTGCTTCTTCTTCTTCTTTTTGGGATCCTCTGCAGCCTTTCTCTCCGGGCTACTTTGCCTTTGTTTCTTCTTCTTGGGATCCTCTGCAGCCTTTCTCTCCGGGCTACTTTGCCTTTGCTTCTTCTTCTTCTTGGGATCCTCTGCAGCGTTTCTCTCCGGCCTACTTTGCCTTTGCTTCTTCTTCTTGGGATCCTCTGCAGCGTTTCTCTCCGGGCCACTTTGCCTTTGCTTCTTCTTCTTCTTACTGGGATCCTCTGCAGCCTCTCTCCGGGCTACTTTGCCTTTGCTTCTTCTTCTTCTTGGGACCCTCTGCAGCCTTTCTCTCCGGGCCATTTTACCTTAGCTTCTTTCTTCTTGGGATCCTCTGCAATCTTTCTCTCCGGGCTACTTTGTCTTTACTTCTTCTTCTTGGGATTTTCTGCAGCCTTTCTCTCCGGGCTCTTTTGCCTTTGCTTCTTCTTCTTCTTGGGATCCTCTGCAGCCTTTCTCTCCGGGCTACTTTGCCTTTGCTTCTTCTTCTTCTTCTTTTTCTTCTTCTGGATCCTCTGCAGCCTTTCTCTCCGGGCTACTTTGCGTTTATTTCTTCTTCTTGGGATCCTCTACAGCCTTTCTCTCCGGGTTACTTTGCCTTTGCTTCTTCTTTTTCTTGGGATCCTCTGCAGCGTTTCTCTCAGGGTTACTTTGCCTTTGCTTCTTCTTTTTCTTGGGATCCTCTGCAGCGTTTCTCTCAGGGCTACTTTGCCTTTGCTTCTTCTTCTTCTTCTTGGGACCCTCTGTAGCCTTTCTCCAGGCTACTTTGCCTTTGATTCTTCTTCTTGGGATCCTCTGCAGTCTTTCTCTCCGGGCTATTTTGCCTTTGCTTCTTCTTCTTCTTGGGATCCTCTGCAGCCTTTCTCTCCGGGCTACTTTATCTTTGCTTCTTCTTCTGCTTGGGATCCTCTGCAATCTTTCTCTCCGGGCTAATTTGCCTTTGCTTCTTCTTCTTCTTCTTGGGATCCTCTGCAATCTTTCTCTCCGGGCTCTTTTACCTTTGCTTCTTCTTCTTGGGATCTTCTGCAGCCTTTCTCTCCGGGCTACTTTGCCTTTGCTTCTTCTTCTTCTTACTGGGATGCTCTGCAGCGTTTCTCTCCGGGCTATTTTGCCTTTGCTTCTTCTTCTTCTTGGGAACCTCTGCAGCCTTTCTCTCCGGGCTACTTTGCCTTTGCTTCTTCTTCTTCTTCTTGGGATCTTCTGCAGCCTTTCTCTCCGGGCTATTTTGCTTCTTCTTCTTGGGATCCTCTGCAGCCTTTCTCTCCGGGCTACTGTGCCTTTGCTTCTTCTTCTTGGGATCCTCTGCAGCCTTTCTCTCCGGGCTACTTTATCTTTGCTTCTTCTTCTTCTTGGGATCCTCTGCAATCTTTCTCTCCGGACTACTTTGCCTTTGCTTCTTCTTCTTCTTGGGAACCTTTGCAATCTTTCTCTCCGGGCTATTTTGCCTTTGCTTCTTCTTCTGAGGGATCCTCTACAGGCTTTCTCTCCGGGCTATTTTATCTTTGCTTCTTCTTCTTCTTGGGATCCTCTGCCGCCTTTCTCTCCCGGCTACTTCGCCTTTGCTTCTTCTTCTTGGGATCCTCTGCAGCCTTTCTCTCCGGGCTACTTTGCCTTTGCTTCTTCTTCTTCTTGGGATCCTCTGCAGTTCTTGGGATCCTCTGCAGCCTTTCTCTCTGGGCTATTTTGCTTTTGCTTCTTCTTCTTCTTCTTGGGATCCTCTGCAGTCTTTCTCTCCGGGCTACTTTGCCTTTGCTCCTTCCTGCAGCCTTTCTCTCCGGGCTGTTTTGCCTTTGCTTCTTCTTCTTGGGATCCTTTGCAGCTTTTCTCTCCGGACTTTTTTTATCTTTGATTCTTCTTCTTCTTGGGATCCTCTGCAGCCTTTCTCTCCGTGTTACTTTGCCTTTGCTTCTTCTTCTTCTTGGGATCCTCTGCAACCTTTCTCTCCGGGCTATTTTGTCTTTGCTTCTTCTTCTTCTTCTTGGGGTCCTCTGCAGCCTTTCTCTCCGGCCTCTTTTGCCTTTGCTGCTTCTTCTTGGGATCCAATGCAGCCTTTCTCTCCGTGCTACCACTAGTTTGCCTTTGCTTCTTCTTCTTCTTGGGATCCTCTGCAGCCTTTCTCTCCGGACTATTTTGCCTTTGCTTCTTCTTCTTGGGATCCTCTACAGCCTTTCTTTCCGGACTTTTTCGCCTTTACTTCCTTCTTCTTCTTGTGATCCTCTACAGGCTTTCTCTCCTGGCTACTTTGCCTTTACTTCTTCTTCTTCTTGGGATCCTCTACAGGCTTTATCTCCTGGCTACTTTGCCTTTGCTTCTTCTTCTTCTTCTTGGGATCTTCTGCAGCCTTTCTCTCCGGGCTATATAGCCTTTGCTTCTTCTTCTTGGGATCCTCTACAGCCTTTCTCTCCGGGCTACTTTGGCTTTGCTTCTTCTGCTTCTTCTTCTTGGGATCCTCTGCAGCCTTTCTCTCCGGCCTATTTTGACTTTGCTTCTTCTTCTTGGGATCCTTTGCAGCCTCTCTCTCCGGGCTTTTTTACCTTTGCTTCTTCTTCTTCTTGGGATCCTCTGCAGCCTTTCTCTCCGTGTTACTTTGCCTTTGCTTCTTCTTCTTCTTGTGGTCCTCTGCAGCCTTTCTCTCCGGGCTATTTTGTCTTTGCTTCTTCTTCTTCTCGGGGTCCTCTGCAGCCTTTCTCTCCGTTTTCTTTTGCCTTTGCTGCTTCTTCTTGGGATCCTCTGCAGCCTTTCTTTCTGGGCTACTTTACCTTTGCTTCTTCTTCTTCTTGGGATCCTCTGCAGCCTTTCTCTCCGGGCTATTTTGCCTTTGCTTCTTCTTCTTCTTGGGATCCTCTGCAGCCTTTCCCTCCGGGCTAGATTGCCTTTGCTTCTTCTTCTTCTTGGGATCCTTTATAGCCTTACTCTTCGGGCTACTTTGCCTTTGCTTCTTCTCTTCTTGGAATCCTGTGCAACCTTTCTCTCCGGACTATATTGCCTTTGCTTCTTCTTCTTCTTGGGATCCTCTGCAGCCTCTCTCTCCGGGCTACTTTGCATTTGCTTCTTCTTCTTGGGATCCTCTGCAGCCTTTCTCTCCGGGCTGTTTTGCCTTTGCTTCTTCTTCTTGGGATCCTCTGCAGCCTTTCTCTCCGGGCTACTTTGCCTCTTCTTCTTCTTCTTGAGATCCTCTGTAGTCTTTCTCTCCGGACTACTTTGCCTTTGCTTCTTCTTCTTCTTGGGATCCTCTGCAGCCTTTCTCTCTGGGCTACTTTGCCTTTGCTTCTTCTTCTTGGGATCCTCCATAGCCTTTCTCTCCTGGCTATTTTGCCTTTACTTCTTCTTCTTCTTCTTGGGATCCTCTGCAGCCTTTCTCTCCGGGCTACTTTGCCTTTGCTTCTTCTTCTTCTTGGGATCCTCTGCAGTCTTTCTCTCCGGGCTACTTTGCCTTTGCTTCTTCTTCTCTTGGGATCCTCTGCAGCCTTTCTCTCCGGGCTCGTTGCCTTTGCTTCTTCTTCGGGCTACTCTTGCCTTTGCTTCTTCTTCTTGGGATCCTCTGCAGCCTTTCTCTCCGGCTACTTTGGCTCTTTGCTTTGCTTCTTGCTTGGGATCCTTGCAGCCTTTCTCTGGCCTTTCTCTCCTCCCGGGCTATTTCTTCTTCTTGGGATCCTCTGCAGCCTTTCTCTCCGGGCTACTTTGCCTTTGCTTCTTCTTCTTCTTGCGATCTTCTGCAGCCTTTCTCTCCGGGCTACTTTGCCTTTGCTTCTTCTTCTTGGGATCCTCTGCAGCCTTTCTCTCCTCGCTACTTTGCCTTTGCTTCTTTCTTCTTGGGATCTTCTGTAGCCTTTCTCTCCGGGCTACTTTGCCTTTGCTTCTTCTTCTTCTTGGGATCCTCTGCAACCTTTCTACTTTGCCTTTGCTTCTTCTTCTTCTTCTTGGAATCCTCTGCAGCCGCTCTTTCCGGGCTGCTTTGTCTTTGCTTCTTCTTCTTCTTGGGATCCTCTGCAACCTTTCTACTTTGCCTTTGCTTCTTCTTCTTCTTGGGATCCTCCGCAGCGTTTCTCTCCGGGCTAGTTTGCCTTTGCTTCTTCTTCTTCTTGGAATCCTCTGCAGCCGTTCTTTCCGGGCTACTTTGTCTTTGCTTCTTCTTCTTCTTGGGATCCTCTGCAACCTTTCTACTTTGCCTTTGCTTCTTCTTCTTCTTGGGATCCTCTGCAGCCTTTCTCTCCGGGCTACTTTACCTTTGCTTCTTCTTCTTCTTCTTGGGGTCCTCTGCAGCCTTTCTCTCCGGACTCTTTTGCCTTTGCTTCGTCTTCTTCTTCTTCTTCTTCTTCTTCTTCTTGGAATCCTCTGCAACCTTTCTCTCCGAGCTGCTTTGCCTTTGCTTCTTCTTCTTCTTCTTCTTGGGATGCTCTTCAGCCTTTCTCTCCGGACTACTTTGCCTTTGCCTCTTCTTCTTCTTGGGATCCTCTGCAGCCTTTCTCTCCGGGCTAGGTTGCCTTTGCTTCTTCTTCTTGTGATCCTCTATAGCCTTACTCTCCGGGCTGTTTTGCCTTTGCTTCTTCTTCTTCTTGGGATCCTCTGCAGGGCTACTTTGCCTTTGCTTCATCTTCTTCTTGGGATCCTCTGCAGCCTTTCTCTCCGGGCTACTTTGCCTTGGCTTCTTCTTCTTCTTGCGATCCTCTGCAGCCTTTCTCTCCGGGCTACTTTGCCTTTATTTCTTCTTCTTCTTCTTACTGGGATCCTCTGCAGCCTTTCTCTCCGGGCTACTTTGCCTTTGCTTCTTCTTCTTCTCGGGATCCAATGCAGCCTTTCTCTCCGGGCTACCAATTTTTTGGTTTTGCTTCTTCTTCTTCTTGGGATCTTCTGCAGCCTTTCTCTCCGGGCTACTTTGCCTTTACTTCTTCTTCTTGGGATCCTCTGCAGCCTTTCTCTCCTTTCTCTCCGGGATATTTTGCCTTTGCTTCTTCTTCTTGGGATCCTCTGCAGCTTTTCTCTCTGGACTCCTTTGCCTTTGCTTCTTATTCTTCTTGGGATCCTCTGCAGCCTTTCTCTCCGGGCTACCAATACTTTGCCTTTGCTTCTTCTTCTTCTTGGGATCCTCTGCAGTCTTTCTCTCCGGGCTACTTTGCCTTTGCTTCTTCTTCTTCTTGGGATCCTCTGCAGCCTTTCTCTCCGGGCTACTTTGCCTTTGCTTCTTCTTCTTCTTCTTGCGATCTTCTGCAGCCTTTCTCTCCGGGCTATTTTGCCTTTGCTTCTTCTTCTTGGAATCCTCTGCAGCCTTTCTCTCCTCGCTACTTTGCCTTTGCTTCTTCTTCTTGGGATCTTCTGCAGCCTTTCTCTCCGGGCTACTTTGCCTTTGCTTCTTCTTCTTGGGATCCTCTACAGGCTTTCTCTCCGGACTTCTTTGCCTTTGCTTCTTCTTCTTCTTCTTGGGATCCTCTATAGCCTTTCTCTCCGGACTACTTTGCCTTTGCTCTCCGGGCTACTTTGCCTTTGCTTCTTCTTCTTTTTGGGATCCTCTGCAGCCTTTCTCTCCGGGCTACGTTGCCTTTGCTTCTTCTTCTTGGGATCCTCTGCAGCTTTTCTCTCCGGGCTACTTTGCCTTTGCTTCTTCTTCTTGGGATCCTCTGCAGCCTTTCTCTCCGGACTACTTTGCCTTTGCTTCTTCTTCTTGGGATCCTCTGCAAGGCTACTTTACCTTTGCTTTTTCTTCTTGGGATCCTCTGCGGCCTTTCTCTCCGGACTTTTTTGGCTTTGCTTCTTCTTCTTCTTCTTCTTGGGATCCTCTGCAGCCTTTCTCTGCGAGCTCTTTTGCCTTTGCTTCTTCTTCTTCTTGGGATCCTCTGCAGCGTTTCTCTTCGGGCTTTTTTTGCCTTTACTTCTTCTTCTTCTTCTTGGGATCCTCTGCAGCCTTTCTCTCCGGGCTGCTTTGCCTTTGCTTCTTCTTCTTGGGATCCTCTGCAGTCTTTCTCTCCGGGCTACTTTGCCTTTGCTGCTTCTTCTTGGGATCCTCTACAGCTTTTCTCTCCGGGCCACTTTGCCTTTGCTTCTTCTTCTTCTTGGGATCCTCTGCAACCTTTCTCTCCGGGCTATATAGCCTTTGCTTCTTCTTCTTCTTCTTGGGATCCTCTACGGCCTTTCTCTCCGGGCTACTTTACCTTTGCTTCTTCTTCTTCTTGGGATCCTCTGCAACCTTTCTCTCCGGGCTACTTTGCCTTTACTTCTTCTTCGTCTTGGGGTCCTCTGCAGCCTTTCTCTCTGGGCTATTTTGCCTTTGCTTCTTCTTCTTGGGATCTTCTGCAGCCTTTCTCTCCGGACTACTTTGCCTTTGCTTCTTCTTTTTGGGATCCTTTGCAGCCTTTCTCTCCGGGCTACTTTGCCTTTGCTTCTTCTTCTTCTTGGGATCCTCTGCAGCCTTTCTCTCCGGGCTACTTTGCCTTTTCTTCTTCTTCTTGAAATCCTCTGTAGCCTTTCTCTCCGGGCTACTTTGCCTTGGCTTCTTCTTCTTGGAATCCTCTGCAGCCTTTCTCTCCTCGCTACTTTGCCTTTGCTTCTTCTTCTTGGGATCTTCTGCAGGCTTTCTCTCCGGGCTACTTTGCCTTTGCTTCTTCTTCTTGGGATCCTCTACAGGCTTTCTCTCCGGACTTCTTTGCCTTTGCTTCTTCTTCTTCTTGGGATCCTCTATAGCCTTTCTCTCCGGACTACTTTGCCTTTGCTTCTTCTTCCTGGGGTCCTTTATAGCCTTTCTCTCCGGGCTACTTTGCCTTTGCTTCTTCTTTTTGGGATCCTCTGCAGCCTTTCTACTTTGCCTTTGCTTATTCTTCTTCTTCTTGGGATCCTCTGCAGCCTTTCTCTCCGGGCTACTTTGCCTTTGCCTTTGCTTCTTCTTCTTGTGATCCTCTGCAGTCTTTCTCTCCGGGCTACTTTGCCTTTGCTTCTTCTTCTTCTTCTTGGGATCCTCTGCAGCCTTTCTCTCCGGGCTGCTTTGCCTTTGCTTCTTCTTCTTGGGATCCTCTGCAACCTTTCTCTCCGGACTTTTTCGCCTTCGCTTCCTTCTTCTTCTTGGGATCCTCTGCAGTCTTTCTCTCCTGGCTACTTTGCCTTTGCTTCTTCCTCTTCTTGGGATCCTCTGCAGCCTTTCTCTCCGGGCTGTTTTGCCTTTACTTCTTCTTCTTGGGATCCTCTGCAGCCTTTCTCTCCGGGCTACTTTGCCTTTGCTACTTCTTCTTCTTGGGATCCTCTGCAGCCTTTCTCTACGGGCTACTTTGCCTTTACTTCTTCTTCTTGGGATCCTCTGCAGCCTTTCTCTCCGGGCTATTTTGCCTTTGCTTCTTCTTCTTCTTGGGATCCTCTATAGCCTTACTCTCCGGGCTACTTTGCCTTTGCTTCTTCTTCTTGGGATCCTCTGCAGGGCTACTTTGCCTTTGCTTCTTCTTCTTGGGATCCTCTGCAGCCTTTCTCTCCGGGCTACTTTGCCTTGGCTTCTTCTTCTTGGGATCCTCTGCAGCCTTTCTCTCCGGGCTACTTTGCCTTTATTTCTTCTTCTTCTTCTTACTGGGATCCTCTGCAGCCTTTCTCTCCGGGCTACTTTGCCTTTGCTTCTTCTTCTTCTCGGGATCCAATGCAGCTTTTCTCTCCGGGCTACCAATTTTTTGGTTTTGCTTCTTCTTCTTCTTGGGATCTTCTGCAGCCTTTCTCTCCGGGCTACTTTGCCTTTACTTCTTCTTCTTGGGGTCCTCTGCAGCCTTTCTCTCCTTTCTCTCCGGGCTATTTTGCCTTTGCTTCTTCTTCTTGGGATCCTCTGCAGCTTTTCTCTCCGGACTCCTTTGCCTTTGCTTCTTATTCTTCTTGGGATCCTCTACAGCCTTTCTCTCCGGGCTACCAATACTTTGCCTTTGTTTCTTCTTCTTCTTGGGATCCTCTGCAGTCTTTCTCTCCGGGCTACTTTGCCTTTGCTTCTTCTTCTTCTTGGGATCCTCTGCAGCCTTTCTCTCCGGGCTACTTTGCCTTTGCTTCTTCTTCTTCTTGCGATCTTCTGCAGCCTTTCTCTCCGGGCTATTTTGCCTTTGCTTCTTTCTTCTTGGAATCCTCTGCAGCCTTTCTCTCCTCGCTACTTTGCCTTTGCTTCTTCTTCTTGGGATCCTCTGCAGCCTTTCTCTCCGGGCTACTTTGCCTTTGCTTCTTCTTCTTGGGATCCTCTACAGGCTTTCTCTCCGGACTTCTTTGCCTTTGCTTCTTCTTCTTCTTCTTGGGATCCTCTATAGCCTTTCTCTCCGGACTACTTTGCCTTTGCTTCTTCTTCCTGGGGTCCTTTATAGCCTTTCTCTCCGGGCTACTTTGCCTTTGCTTCTTCTTCTTTTTGGGATCCTCTGCAGCCTTTCTCTCCGGGCTACGTTGCCTTTGCTTCTTCTTCTTCTTGGGATCCTCTGCAGCTTTTCTCTCCGGGCTACTTTGCCTTTGCTTCTTCTTCTTGGGATCCTCTGCAGCCTTTCTCTCCGGACTACTTTGCCTTTGCTTCTTCTTCTTGGGTCCTCTGCAAGGCTACTTTACCTTTGCTTTTTCTTCTTGGGATCCTCTGCGGCCTTTCTCTCCGGACTTTTTTGGCTTTGCTTCTTCTTCTTCTTGGGATCCTCTGCAGCCTTTCTCTGCGAGCTCTTTTGCCTTTGCTTCTTCTTCTTCTTCTTGGGATCCTCTGCAGCCTTTCCCTCCGGGCTATTTTGCCTTTACTTCTTCTTCTTCTTGGGATCCTCTGCAGTCTTTCTCTCCGGGCTACTTTGCCTTTGCTTCTTCTTCTTGTGTTCCTCTGCAGTCTTTCTCTCCGGGCTACTTTGCCTTTGCTGCTTCTTCTTGGGATCCTCTACAGCTTTTCTCTCCGGGCCACTTTGCCTTTGCTTCTTCTTCTTCTTGGGATCCTCTGCAACCTTTCTCTCCGGGCTATATAGCCTTTGCTTCTTCTTCTTCTTGGGATCCTCTACGGCCTTTCTCTCGGGGCTACTTTGCTTCTTCTTCTTCTTGGGATCCTCTGCAACCTTTCTCTCCGGGCTACTTTGCCTTTACTTCTTCTTCGTCTTGGGGTCCTCTGCAGCCTTTCTCTCTGGGCTATTTTGCCTTTGCTTCTTCTTCTTCTTGGGATCTTCTGCAGCCTTTCTCTCCGGGCTATTTTGCCTTTGCTTCTTCTTTTTGGGATCCTTTGCAGCCTTTCTCTCCGGGCTACTTTGCCTTTGCTTCTTCTTCTTCTTGGGATCCTCTGCAGCCTTTCTCTCCGGGCTACTTTGCCTTTGCTTCTTCTTCTTCTTGGGATCCTCTGCAGCCTTTCTCTCCAGACTTCTTTGCTTCTTCTTCTTCTTGGGATCCTCTGCAGCGTTTCTCTCCGGGCTACTTTGCCTTTCTTCTTCTTCTTCTTGGGATCCTCTGCAGCCTTTCTCTGCGAGCTCTTTTGCCTTTGCTTCTTCTTCTTCTTCTTGGGATCCTCTGCAGCCTTTCCCTCCGGGCTACTTTGCCTTTGCTTCTTCTTCTTCTTCTTGGGATCCTCTGCAGCCTTTCTCTCCAGACTACTTTGCCTTTGCTTCTTCTTCTTCTTGGGATCCTCTGCAGCCTTTCTCTCCGGGCTACTTTGCCTTTGCTTCTTCTTCTTGGGATCCTCTGCAGCCTTTCTCTCCTCGCTACTTCTTGGGATCCTCTGCAGCCTTTCTCTCCCGGCTGCTTTGCCTTTGCTTCTTCTTCTTGGGATCCTCTGCAACCTTTCTCTCCGGACTTTTTCGCCTTTGCTTCCTTCTTCTTCTTGGGATCCTCTAAAGTCTTTCTCTCCTGGCTACTTTGCCTTTGCTTCTTCTTCTTCTTGGGATCCTCTGCAGCCTTTCTCTCCGGGCTGTTTTGCCTTTACTTCTTCTTCTTGGGATCCTCTGCAGCCTTTCTCTCCGGGCTACTTGGCCTTTGCTTCTTCTTCTTCTTGGGATCCTCTGCAGCCTTTCTCTCCGGGCTACTTTGCCTTTACTTCTTCTTCTTGGGATCCTCTGCAGCCTTTCTCTCCGGGCTATTTTGCCTTTGCTTCTTCTTCTTCTTGGGATCCTCTGCAGCCTTTCTCTCCGGACTATTTTGCCTTTGCATCTTCTTCTTGGGATCCTCTGCAACCTTTCTCTCCGGGCTACTTTGCCTTTGCTTCTTCTTCTTGGGATTCTCTGCAGTCTTTCTCTCCGGGCTACTTTGCCTTTGCTTCTTCTTCTTCTTGGGATCCTCTGCAGCCTTTCTCTCCGGGCTACTTTGCCTTTGCTTTTTCTTTTCGAGGTCCTCTGCAGCCTTTCTCTCCGGGCTATTTTACCATTGTTTCTTCTTCTTCTTGGGATCCTCTGCAACCTTTCTCTCCGGGCTACTTTGTCTTTGCTTCTTCTTCTTCTTGGGATCCTCTGCAGCCTTTCTCTCCGGGCCACTTTGCCTTTGTTTCTTCTTCTTCTTCTTGGGATCCTCTGCAGCCTTTCTCTCCGGGCTGTTGTATCTTTGCTTCTTCTTCTTCTTGGGATCCTCTGCAGCCTTTCTCTCCGGGCTACTTTGCCTCTTCTTCTTCTTCTTGAAATCCTGGGTTAGTTGCATTTGGGGCGCGTGGGAACGCGTTCGATGCATTTGGGGCGCGTGGGTGTTTGACACACCGTCTTACTAAACAAGTTCAAAAGTCCTACAACTTCTATAGACGTTCTACAACTTCCAGAAGTTCTACAAGTTCTACAAGTTCTACAAGTTATACAAGTTCTATAAGTTCTACAAGTTCTATAAGTTCTATAAGTTCTAAAAGTTCTATAAGTTCTAAAAGTTCTAAAAGTTCTAAAAGTTCTAAAAGTTCTTAAAGTTCTACAAGTTCTAAAAGTTCTATAAGTTCTGAAAGTTCTAAAACTTCTATAAGTTCTAAAAGTTCTAAAAGTTCTAAAAGTTCTACAAGTTCTAAAAGTTCTAAAAGTTCTAAAAGTTCTAAAAATTCTAAAAGTTTTAAAAGTTCTACAAGTTCTTTAAGTTCTACAAGTTCTATAAGTTCTGAAAGTTCTAAAAATTCTATAAGTTCTAAAAGCTCTAAAAGTTCTATAAGTTCTAAAAGTTCTAAAAGTTCTAAAAGTTCTATAAGTTCTAAAAGTTCTAAAAGTTCTACAAGTTCTAAAAGTTCTGAAAGTTCTAAAAGTTCTATAAGTTCTCAAAGTTCTATAAGTTCTAGTTCTAAAAGTTCTAAAAGTTCTATAAGTTCTGAAAGTTCTGAAAGTTGTACAAGTTCTGAAAGTTGTACAAGTTCTGAAAGCTTCAAAAGTTATACAAGTTCTAAAAGTTCTAAAAGTTCTAAAAGTTCTAAAATTTCTAAACGTTCTAAAAGTTCTAAAAGTTCTAAAAATTCTAAAAATTCTAAAAGTTCTAAAAGTTCTAAAAATTCTAAAAGTTCTAAAAGTTCTTAAAGTTCTACAAGTTCTACAAGTTCTATAAGTTCTACAAGTTCTAAAAGTTCTAAAAGTTCTAAAAGTTCTAAAAGTTCTAAAAGTTCTAAAAGTTCTAAAAGTTCTAAAAGTTCTCCAAGTTCTAAAAGTTCTAAAAGTTCTAAAAGTTCTATAAGTTTCAAAAGTTCTATAAGTTCTGAAAGTTCTAAAAATTCTATAAGTTCTAAAAGTTCTAAAAATTCTATAAGTTCTAAAGGTTCCAAAAGTTCTAAAAGTTCTATAAGTTCTAAAAGTTCTAAAAGTTCTAAAAGTTCTAAAAGTTCTAAAAGTTCTAAAAGTTCTAAAAGTTCTAAAAGTTCTATAAGTTCTATAAGTTCTATAAGTTCTATAAGTTCTATAAGTTCTATAAGTTCTAAAAGTTCTAAAAGTTCTATAAGTTCTGAAAGTTCTGAAGATATATGTATATATATTTATAGGTGTATATGCACATATCTAGTATGTACATATAGTTCGTACATTCACATGTAGATGGATGTATACATACATATGCATACATATGTACACATATACATATACATCTATACATATGCGCGTGCGTGTGTATACTCATATATATATATATATATACATATAGTGATGTGTATTGTGTGTGCTTGTGTATTTTGTTTATACACAGTTACATTTACACATGTATGTATATCTATTCATATTTACATGTACATATGCGACTGTATTTATGTATAAATATATATATATATATATATATATATATATACATATGTGTATATGCATATGTGCGGGTAGTAAAGCGGTCGACGGGCATTGCCGAGCGGCGAGCAACTGCCCTCCGGCTTCCTGTTACACGCGCAGAAGATGGTGTGGCGCCTCTTTTCCCTTTCGTGTGCCTCGACAGCATCTAGTGTCAGGACGGTTCCTGCAACTGACGCACTTGCAGCTTCGTGCCTTTTCTGCTGCTGTTCATCAGACATGTGGCTTGATTTCTATAAAGCGTACTGCCTGCGCCGCTTAGCTGCGCCGTCCAAGCGAACGTAGACATGTAGGGTCTGTTGCCACGTGCCAGCATGCCGGTGCCACAGCCGCCGCAGTACCAGTGCACCATGCATCGTGGATGGAGCTGGTTGAAAGAGCAATGGAACCTTCACGGCGGCTCCATCGCAGGACACGTGGGCTTCCAAGCAGTGTCCGCCTTGAGCGCCCGCTTGAGCCATCCTCCAGTGCCGATTTTCATGTACTTGCTGGCCGCCCTGGGTACCTTGTCGAACGGTGCCTCCATCAATGTTTGGGGTAGTCCAATGCCCATCGCTATCTGGGTTTTGAATGTCAACTACTCACAAACCAGAAAGAGCCAGCTAACAGCGTTGATGGAGAGCTTGTGCAGCAAGGCTGACGCAATGGCTGAGGAACTGTGGGGTGCTGTCTTGAAAACCAAGCAAGCATATGCAGCTTCGTCCGCCCGAGCCGCTGCAAGTGAAGAGACCGACTGCGAGCAGGATGAAGACACGCTTCAATCTGTTGACGGCAGAGGCAAGCGCAAAGTACGACGAGGTTCTGGCGCTGACAACTGCCTGGAGGAGCCATTGCAGATCTGGTCAGTAGCCTACTTGGGTGGCACACTCGAGCGCTCCAAGCAGCGCTGCGCGGGGGACTTTCACCAGGTGCGTGCCGTGCGAGACACAGCGCCCAGCAAGCTTTGTTCTGTCCCAGCAGATCAGGCTCGATCTCATGGGCATGTGCACGACCAAGAGTTGCGAGTCTTGGCGGCGAGGGGCCTTCCAGGTCGCTTATGGTTCTCTCAAGCCCTTGTACTCGACGAGGCATATGATTTCCTTCAAGACCTAGCCTTGCTAGATGCGCCAGGATCGAGGAAGTCAAATGCCGAGACACAAGGACAGACGCCAGCTGCCGGCTGGGCCAATAGGCTTATGCAGACCGGTCAGAGTACCTTCGAGACGAAGACCATGGGTGTCCATGGCGGAAAGGGTGCCCCTGCTGTCAGCTCATCAGTCGTAGGCAACATTCACAGTGCGGTTGCTGTCGAAATGGCCCGCGGCATCCGTGGAGATCATGGCTGTGCGACGAGGATGAGAATGTTCCTAGTCTCAGGCGAACCTGTCCAGCCACACGCTCGCGTTGCAGGCTGCTGCGTGGCATCCAAGCAGAAGTGGTGCTTGCTTCCCCGCTTGGTGCAGACAGCCTTAGGCCTGGAACAGCACCTGACTTCTCCACAGGCAGCACAGGTCTACTTCCAGGACGAGCTCATGGAGTCACAGGATGCGCCGTCGGACGTGCTCTACTTTCCTGACGAGCGCGGGTGGCAGTACACGCTCCCCGACGGCGTCGAGACTGCCATTCGCCTAGCTCGGCGAGATCATGGCTGGGATGCGCAGTGGTGCCTCGGAGATCGCGACTTTGATATTCCTGCCGAGCTCAGCGTCTACGACGCAGCAGATCGGTTTGTGCGTCACTTCCGACAAAGCCATCGACCCATCGGTTTCCACGACGACGCTGCCCAGGCACACGGTAGTTGTTCGACTTTAATCCCTTCCCCGTAACATTAAAGGAAGTCTTCTCCCCCCCTTCCAGAATCTCGAAATCCAGGCCGGCCAGCAGTCACGCAACCCTGAGCCCTGAAGCCCTAAGCCCTAAAGCCCTAAAGTCTAAAGCCCTTAAAGCCCTTATAGCCTCTTAAAGGCCTTAAAGCCCTTAAGTCCTAAAACCCTAAGGCCTACTTTTTTAGGTTTAGTATTACATGTAATCTTCGTCCTATGACAACTCATACAAATCTAGGCTCCCCCCTAATATTTATCCTTTTAAATTGCGTGTTGTGTTGTGTGTATTTTCAAGACATAGCTGTTTGCTGCGATCCGGTCCAAGCCCATTCGAATTCGCTTTTGCGTGCTGTGTTGGAATGTGAGGCCAGATTCCGACAACTGTCGATTTAGGGTTTACGGTTTCAATGATCCTTACATAGTTTGTCTTTGATTAAGCATTAGAATCATCACATGTGATTCCATAACAATATCATTGCTACGAAGTTAACATGAAATCCAAAGAACATCCAGACAGGATGATTGCAACGAAGTTAAGGGTCCTTGTCGTTGACCGATATGTCGCTGTTGGTGTTGGTGTCGTGGTGATGCAGTTGTGGTTGTTGTCGCTGTTGTTGTTGCTGCTGCTCCTGCTGCTGCCACTGCCGTTGATCTTGGTGGTGTTGCAACTGATTCGGCTCCTGTTGTGCTCTATGTCTCTGGTGGTTGTAACTCCTCTTCTGACTTGGACTGTTATCTTTGCCGTTGTTCTCATATAGTTATTGCCGGTTATTATTTTTTTCGGGCCCTTAAGTAAATGCAGGTAGTGGGAGGGGCTGTAATATTCGTGAGCTACGATTATCCTAATAAAACCACTAATGGCCAGCGCTTTCCCAAAGCAGGAGATTTTTCTGTCCTACGCCACCTTCTACCAGATCCAAGTGGTGGCTGCTCGTCAAAACAAGGACATCGCAGCTGCGGCCGCCAAGGGGACCAGCCCCTGGAAGCTTGCGCAGCTCTCCGCTTGCATATGCCTCTGGGACCTTCTGTGGTTGCCCGCCACCACCAGCTCCTCCAGCGCGCCGATGGATCTGTCCGTCACCAAAGAGCATGTCCAGCGTGCCTTCACCTGCCTCGAGATGCTAGAAGGTTTCGGCAACGTCCTAGCAGGGCTGGAAGCAGACAAAACGTGGATGCAGGCCCCCGCGGAGTTGCACACAGACAACAGCGACGAGCTCCTCCTGCAGAGCAAGCTTCAGGACACGTACGGTGGCACGGAAGAAGAGACTCTGTGCAAAGATGTCAACTTCGATCCGGCCGTGCCACAGAAGACTGGAATCAAGGATCAGACCATCGCCAGACGGATTATGCAGAAGGCCGTGCCTGACAAGTCTCGTTCCCTTCAACCGGATGCGGACCAGTGTTTCGCAACAAGTTCTCGCTGCACATGGGGTCTCTTCTCCGCCAAGGAGCAGACCAAGATGAGGCACAAGCTTTGCGTCGGAGACTTCCGTCTTGTGGCCAAGGCCGTGCCGGAAGAGATCGGTGAGTTCCTGTGGGGAACCGACAGCTTGCATTTCAAGCTGCCTCGTGCACAGGACATCTCCAGCGAGGACCCCATTCACGATGCTCTCAAGAACTTCGCCAACATCACCCTTGA